AATAGGCAAGCAAAAGAAAAAGGCAGCTGGCTACAAAAATATCAAATCAGTGACACATCAGAGGGCCTTGGTAGATGAGTAAAGTCACTTTAGCCGAAAATGGTTGACACCTCCGGTGACCGACCCTCACATTGCATGTGGGTCCCGTGTGAATAAAATAATGCCCGACCCCCGAGGTGTGAGTGTTTGGTCATACAAGATGTCAACCGAGGTGTTCGTGTAGCACGGTTCATTATAACTAATTCTACATTGCATCATCCAGTTCTGGTTTTTCAAAAAGATCTAAGCATAAACATGGCAAGCAAAACTAAGTGTATGGTGTGGGTCATAATTGAGTAAAAAAGTCTTGAAATCGTGACAATTTCATATGCCTAATTACCTACCACATGACATGGCTCATCTACAACAATATTTTGGAGAATTTGATAAAGTCTTGGGGGTGCAAACTTGAGTTAAAGATAGCTGCTTTTTAATTACTTGAATATGGCCCATACCTTTCAAGAAATAGAAAATTGTAAATTGGAATATGAAAATGTTTTGTTTTTAATGGTCAAAACTCAATAAAAATGGCTTCCATATATTATCATGTGAGGTTTGGCCATGTGGGGTAACTTTATTTATTGAGTCATATTTATTTTACACTGCCCAAGAAGTAATATTATTGTCATTTGACTATTGAAATTAAAGATTGAATGTGATGCCAGTGTAGTAGAGTTTTGAGTTTTGCATTCCTATTATCAGGAACCGTCAAAGAAGTAATTTTATATAAATAAATATGTCCTCTATGTAACGACGTAAGCTTTTAGATGATGGTATCTGAGTAAGACCAAACATGCTATTTGTGATTAAAATGGTGTAAGATAAAGGTCCTAAGTTCAAGTCTCGTCGTCACTTATTTATGAAGTGTCTTGGCAAAGCTTTTATATGTTTATGAAGAGTGGGTTCCAAAAAAATTGTGGTTTTAAAGTAGATAAGGTTGTGGGTCCTAAGATGTCTGGTTAAAAATATTGTTTGATCAACTTATAAACTTCAAAAACTTTTTCCGAGCATGCTCCAAAACTGTTCACGTATTGCATTGAAATTAGTTCAATAAAATGACAAAAATATAAAAAAAAATGACAAAAATTCAAAAAGTGACAAATAATTTTCAACACGAATCAAAACCTTAGAAGAGATCCAGTGGATGGTTGATTTTCTTTTACATGTTGTATCTTTGTGATTATGTTTCACGTCTATTAACTAGCATATGAACTTGGATTTGAAAGTTATTCAATAAAATGAAAAATATTAAAAAAGTAATAGACTAAAAAAGGTGACAAAAATTAGAAAAAAATAAACAAATAAATAAAAGAAAGTGACAATCTCTTATGATAAAGCCTCAACAACAAAAATTTCACTTTTTCCGCGCAAGTCATTTGGTTTAAGCAACAACATACAGAGAGAAGCAAACAAAAATTCATGTTTATTCTCAAGATGTAATCACACATAGGGTAGTATCTGAAGCGGGCCCATTCCTCTGGCGTTATGCACATAAAATTTGAACTTATCATTTGCATTCTTCAACAATACTTGATTTTTCTTTCATAAAATTTCCCAAGTACTCCCAACCCAAGCAGTTTGCATAAAAACAAAGGGTTTTCCTTTCTTTTTCTTTTTTTTTTTTTCCCTTTTTTGGAGGGGGTGGGGGATTTGAAGCCTTAACAAACATTTAGTTCAATATTTTAAGTCCAAATTTCATGGTTCTATTGAATCTTGACTAGATTTATCAAAAGTTTACACCTCTATATTGAGAGTTTGGGATCAGACTGCATGCAAAATATATGTTCAACAAAGCACGGACACACAAGCTTCTGATATATCGTTTTCGTTTTCACCGTCTAAATATATTCAGAGCTTATTACTTGTTCGATTTTTGGTGGAGACCTTTCATTTGTAGAGGATTCTTTCTTTAGCTATTAGCTTAATCTTGCAATGGGCAACACAATTTGCTTACTTCAAGTTTTTTAGGTGGAGACCTTCTATTTGTAAAGGATTCTTTCTTTAGCTATTAGCTTAATGTTGCAATGGGCAATATAACTGGCTTACTTCAAGTTTTTTAGGTGGAGACCTTTTATTTGTAAAGGATTCTTTCTTTAGCTATTAGCTTAATCTTGCAATGGGCAACATAACTGGCTTACTTCAAGTTTTTTAGGGGAGTCAGCGAGACGACACAGGGCGCATCAATTGCTTCAAAACTTCCTTTATGAGAAAGGAAGCTTCGGATTGCAAGAAATTGTACCTCATATTCCACGTGCACATTGTGAATATGAACAATCATGTGTTAAGGGATAAATCCAAAATTGTTCAAATACTGAAATATAGAACAACATATAAGGGCTTGAGTTACTCTTCTTAATAAAGTTAACCTTTTAAGATAGAATCTCAAATCTTAATATGGTATTAGAGCCCATTAAACTCTAACAAGCAATTTGATTCGATTAAAACTCAAAAAATGAGCACATGAATTTCAAGATTAGTCCGCTCAAAAGAGCCACCATATTACGGGGACATGTAAGGGATAAATCCCACACCGGTTCAATACCGAAATATAGATCAACATAAAAGGGCTTAAAGTACTCATCTTAATAAGATTAACATTTTAAGATGGAACTCTATGTTTTAATATCATGGAGGACAAAAATATCAATCTTTTCCACGTGCTAGGCTTACGTAGTACATGAAATTAAAGTGAACTGCTACGCCTTATAATACTACAACACACTATTGATTCAGCAGTTTTTTTCTCTTTGTGTCGGGGCTGTGGCTTATACACACTCAATAGCTAGTTGTGTACACATGCCAGAGGTCAACCGACACTAGAGTATGTTAATGTTGAGAATCAAACCAGTTGTGTCTTGGGATGCCTTTGACGGTGGATGGGATTCTAAAAGGTTGTTTGATAAGTGTATTCTATACACTTATTCTGGACCTAAAATATCGATATTTGATAATTATTTTGACAAAATATATTCTAACTTGTTGTATTTTATATTATATAGGTAAAACTCGATCGTGGAATGAGGAATTGGAAGAAACAAAAGAAAATAAAGGAAAAATGACAAAGTCCAAAGTTTAAAGGCTAAATTGCAAATATTCAATAATTGATTCGTACCATAAGATGATACTTTGAAGACTGTTAGGAGACAATTGGATGGAATTAGAACTCAAAAAAGAATGGAATATGATCAAAATATTATCAAAATCAATTTATAAATCGCAGAGGTTATATTCCAAATTTTTAGCTGAAATTTGAAACCCATTTTTTGTATAGTAAAAGTCCGAATTGGAAACATTCTATTTCTAGAAACGTTGTATCCCAATGAGTTATCTTTCCAATACACTTTGAATCGTCTCAATCGGATTTCGAGAGAGAAAGTTATGGCCAAACATATCCGCGTGCGAATGCAACTTTGCTTATTCGATTGGAACTCTTTTGAAAACCAATTTAGACGTGATTTTCAACCAATTTTCTACTCCTTCAAATACCAACAACATAATATATATTGGAGATCTCCTTTTGATCTAAAAAATCACATATCCTATGTATTTTGGATGCGAAGAACGAGGCGCGATCATCAACCAAAGGCAAATTATACAAGTTTATTGAAAAATCATAACCACTTTTCAATATTCAAGTCAAGAAATTGGCTT